TTTAGGAAGTCATTCCAAATCACATTCAAGGTAATCATATAAGTAAACGAATCACATTGGATAGTCGACATGAATAAAAACTATCAAACCAAACAATGTGGTCAAGAGTATTGTATTAGAGAAAGACCGTATTGCATTGTAATCCTAAACTGAATAGGTTCTCCACCTCTTCTGATTAGCTTGGGTAACCATGACACACTGCTAGATATCACTCATGGTTTGTGGAAGCCCTAAACGTGTATAATCACTAAAGGGAGAATTGAAAGTAAGTTTCAATTCACAATCGATTTGAAAGTGTTCTAATCGCCCACTGCCTCGCTAAAAGGAACCTAATGGATCGTACACCGTGTAAGGCAGAGATTGAAGAAACAATGGAGATGAGTAAGAATAATTAAATGGTTTAATTATTTATGGCAATGATTAATTAATATGATTAATTAATCAAACGAATAAAGTTCGTTAAAAGACCACGGGTTAGTTTTGGGCCTCAAGGCCCAATGGGCTTCGAACGTCAAGCCCATTGACTTAAGTTGTATGACAACTTAATGACAAATAATTCACAAAGGCCTTAAAAGCCCAATGAAACCCTATGGCCGGCCATTTAGAGTAAGGAGTGGGTTTTGGACTTAATTACAAGTTTGCCACTCAAATAAATGTAGGTATAAATATGACTTTATAGCCAAAATTCATTAGGGTTTCTTTTAGAGAATTGGAGAGAACATATCTTTCCATTTCTCTCTCTAAGAGGCCGGCCCCCTTGGAGGAGATTAGCTAGCAATCTTACATCCTCCAAGGTCACTCATTTCTTCTTAAAGTCTCTCCTTGGTGTGGAAAGCTAGAGGTTCTCAATTTTGGGAACTTGGAGAATCCTTTTCAACCATCCTCATCCAAGAAAGCATGGATCTAAGAAGCAAGGAATGAAGGCCCTATCTCTTGGGTGATTATCCTTTGCTTATGCAAAGAGGAATCAACAAAGGTATAAATTTCTCAACTCACTTTGTTCTTGAGTTGAGTATTGGTTCACCTAACTACTAGGCTTGAATTTCATGGTTAATGTTTTGTTTTTAAGTGCATGCAAGCATGATTCCGCCTTTTAATTGTTAAATGCATGCTATAGATGTTGCTTAAATGAACATGTTTTTCACAAAATTTCCTTCAGAAAGGATCTCCAAAACACCAAAGGTTTGGTGTCTCTAAGTCTCCACACCAAGGATGAGGTGTGAAGATGAAATGGATGACTTAGAGAAGAAAAAGATTGCTAGCCCTTTCTTCCCTATGTGGCCGGCCTCCTTGTAGAGAAAGAGAGAAAATGTTTCACCTCTTTACCTCAAAGAAAAAACCCTAATGAGGTAAAAGCAATAAAGATGCTTTTATATCTCATTTCTTAGGTGAGTGGCAAACTTGCAATTAAGCAAAACTTCCCACTACCCTTGCTATGGCCGGCCATCTTAAGTGATTGGGCTTATTGCCCATTTTTTTTTAGTTGTCATACAACTTGAACATAATGGGCCTTGTGGACCAAAACACTTTTGAGGCCCGAAACCCAAAACCAACTTAAAAGCCCAATACGAACATTTCGTATAATTAATTAACTAATTAATTAACCTTGACCATTTTTCAATTAAACCATTTAATTGCATATCCATTTCATTTAAATTCTTCACTTTCATCCTTACTCGGTGTACGATCCATTAGGTTCCATTTAGCGAGGTAGTGGGCGATTGTTACTCTTAACGATCGATTGTGAATTGAAACTATTTCAATTCTCCCTTTGATTAGTGTTTGCTAATCTTCAGGGCTTCCACAAACCATGAGTGACACCTAGCAGCATGTCATGGTTACCCAAGCTAAGTAGAAGTGGTTGGAGAACCTATCCAGTTACAACTACAATGCAATACGGTCCTTCTCTAATACAATACTCTTAATCACATTGTTTGAGTGATAGTTTGTTTCATGTCTACTATCCAATGTGATACTTCTCTATATGATTCAATTGAATATGATTTGGAACAAACTTCCTAAGTCATATTCATATGCGTTGGCCAAAGACTCTCGAATCATATCTTAGAGTATTCTCTTTCCACCATGGAAGGTTAGAGATCCCTTGTTGCGCATTCATCTGCCTACATGACTAGATAGCTTGACCCCAACAATGCCGTGGACACTCCAATGGAATGCCTTTGACATGATCAAAGATCAAGGACCTAGCCATTAGACATCTATGATGCCTCAGGTCAAATGACTACTTTGCATATTGCAACTATCGAGTTCTTACATGACATGTATGTTCGAACTCTCTTTTGATCGTTGTTCAGTGTACTCGATTACTCTTTCGAGCACCTATGTGTTTGTCTTAGTGTCCAACACTAATTGACTTGAGACTAGTCATACTCACGCTTGAGTCGACATAACACATACTAACCTTAGCGGATTGTCAATGCCCAATTGGCAATCCTATGGCTAGGAACGTTTTAGGAATGAACATAAGAGAAAGGTCTCGTTAATCTAACTTACTTAAATCACTTGTCTCTTAGATAAAATACATTCCTTGGATTCTCTTATTGCTTAAACACATGATACAATAAATAGTGATTAACAATAAGCTTTGCCCTTCATTAAACATATAAAAGTTTAATACAATAAGTATTCCAAAAGCTATTACATCAAATGAGTGGCTTTGTGGGCATACTTCCAACAATCTCCCAACAATGGGGAAAATTATTTGGTAGTGAAGCCGCAAAGACAAATGATGTCAATGAAGGTGTCGATTCATTGACCCCAACTTCTTCTTTTGCAAGGCCCTCAGGAAGAGATAAGCAAAAGGAAGTAAACAGAAAAGGGAAGTTCCAAGATCTAGTTAGTGCAACGATTTCTACTGGATTTGCAAAATTGGCTAAAAGCCATAGCTCTTGGGAGGAAGAAGCGGCCCAAATGCGTTTGGCCTTTATGAAGGAAGGGGAAAGGGAGCAAGAAAGGTTTGAATGTGATTTAATTCGGGAGGACCTCAACAAATACACTCCAGATAGGAAGAAGTTTTTACGTGATAAGCAAAATGAAATTTTGCGAAGGCATGCCACAAGGAGTATCTTTCAAGATGATGATTCATCTCAAGATATATCCCAAGTCCACCACCAAGTCAAGGTGGTGGATATCATTATTAATTATCGTTTGTATTAAGTTTATGTAGTTTATTAATTGTCGTTTGTGTTAAGTTTATGTAATTTATTCATTATCGTTTGTATTAAGTTTATGTAGTTTATTAATTGTCGTTTGTATTAAATCTATGTAGTTTATTAATTATCGTCTGTATTAAGTTTATGACTTATTAATTATCGTTTGTGTTAAATGGCTTATTAATTATGTTTCTATTATTCTAGATAGTGGCGAAGCTACAGAGGGACTGGGAGGGGCGGCAACCCCTCCCCTTGCCGGAAATTAAGGCCATGAACATGGTTCCGCCCCTCTGTTCTCGTCGGAATGAATGGCGCACATGCAATGTAGTCTGCAGATGGTTTCTGCCTTTATGGGTTTCTGCTGCTGTGCGCAACAGATTGTGTAATTTTTTTTAAATCCCTTAAATGAAACGGCATCGTTTCATTTAGTATTGAAAAAAAAAAAAAACCTCCTTAAATAAAAAAATGACGTCGTCGCCATCGTTAATTGCTTAAAAAGATAGAAAACTTTAAAGGGGACCACTATCCCCAACTCCCCGTGCCTTCCATTTTTCAAAGCAGACCTTCACTTTTTCAAACCTAATCCCCTTTTAACCAATCCCCAGACCCGTGCCCCCCCTCCCAAATCCCAGCAGCTTTTAGCTTTTCACGTTTCAGGCACTCTCATCCTTCCGTTCCATTCCGTTGTCCCTTATTTCTCCATCAAGCCGAGCTAGCCGCCAGCCTCCAGCATAGCAGCCAACATGTTGACTGTTAGGTTGATTTTCCACTTCTCTCTCAATTTTAGGTAAATTTGTTAACTTTCTAATTTATATTATCCCTATTCCTAATTGATTAATTAATACAAAATTTTAGTTAATTAATATAGAATCATAGAGTAATACACTAATATAGTTATTGATTTTTTATTTTTGCATATAAATATGAATCCTATGAATGATTATTGATGAATGAAATTATTGTCTAGAGTAAAAATTGAATTCTTGATTATTGATATTAATTTATTAATTGAATTTTTGTGTATTAAATAATTTATATGAAGGTTGTGAAAACACCATTGCGTAACAAAATGGGAGATCGATGGTTGAGTGATAGCATGGTTGTTTACATTGAGAGGGATGTATTTGCTTTTATGATAATGAGCCTATTATGCGATGTTTTCATGACATGAAACCTCGCCGGCAACAATTGTAATTTGTTTGTATTGATTAATTATGGAAGACATTACTATATAAAAAGATTTAGTTGTTGCCATTTTTCTTTAACCTTGCACTTTTTTAAGTTCGCCTCTCCCCCCGAAAAATCCTGGCTTTGCCACTGATTCTAGATGCCTTCAATAATTATTGTACATATTGTTGCACACTTTGATGTACAATAGATGCCTTCAATAATTCAGAGGGCTTTTAATAATTATTGTACATATTGTTGCACACTGTAATGTACAATAGATGCCTTCAATAATTCAAAGGTTCTTCAATAATTATTGTACATATTGCTGCACACTGTGATGTATAATAGATGCCTTCAATAATTTTTGACAACGTTCTAGACAAAAAACTTGTCACAAGAAAACAGTTCAATTTATTACTAGAAAATACCAACATAGCACACTTAAAATTATTACAAAAAATACCAACATAGCACACTTAAATTTAACACAAGAAAGCAACCACACTAACACATTAACACACTTAAGATTATCCATCATCAACGTTCTCCTTCTCGGCGCCACATATGCTCAACCAAATCCTTTCAGAGTATGTCATGATCTTGAGGAGCTTGAATTCTATTTAAATGTCTCATATACTCACTCAGTGTGACCATATTCTATCGGGTCTCGTATGTGGTTGCAGCAAGATATTCTACATCTCTTGCCATAGCTCTCGCATATGTTGGTTGGTCGCCATCCACATCTTCGTCACAGTCTTCTTCAATTTTTACGTACTCATCTTCCACAATCACGTTGTGCAAAATTATGCAAGTCATCATGATTGAATAGAGGTCTTCCACATTCCACAATTGTGCAACCCCTCTATAATGGCCCATCAAGCTTGTAGGATCCCAAACGTTCTCTCCACATCTTTCCTGTAAGACTCTTGTTTCTGAGAAAATAGTTTCTTCTTTGCACTATCTAATGAGAATAACTTTTCACAAAGGTAGACCAACTAGGATAAATACCATTAGTTAAGCAATAACCTAGCTCATGCCTATTACCATTTACCTTGTACCTCCATTCTGGTGCCCATCCATTGACAACATCATCGAACAGAGGAAAATACCAAAGAACGTTTATATTGTTGTTTGATCCAAGAGTGCTGAAGAATGCAAGCCAAATCCAAATGTCGTTAGACGCCACAGCCTCGAGCACGATGGTTAGCTTGTTATGACGGCCCTTGAATTGGCCAGCCCAAGTAATAGGACAATTTTTCCACTCCCAATGCATACAATCGAGACTTCTTATCATGTCAGGGAAGCCTCTTTTGTTTGCCTTGAGTATAAGCTTATTCAAGTCCTCACGATTTGGCTTCTGGAGGTATATGGCTCCATATATGACTTCAATTGCCTTACTGAAGCACTTGAGGTTCTCAATAGCAGTACTCTCTACAAGTCAACAATATTCGTCAGTTGAGTGTTCTGAGCACCCATTAGCTAGCATCCAAAATGCAGATGTGAGCTTTTGATGAGGTGATAGACTTTGCCAACCTACGACATTATCTTCCTTGCAAAGTAGTGGTCATGATGGACAATTGCGTTCAAGATGGTTTCAAAAAGCTTTTTTCTCATCTGATACCACCTCAGAAAATCATGAGGAGGATATCTCGGACGTTCGATAAAATAGTCTTTCATCATTCGATTATGACACTCTTCTCTATCATGCTGCACAAATGAACGCCTCCTGACAGAACCACGATAGCTAGATTCAGCATGGTGCTCATATTGCATAAGCGAATTTTGCAAATTCGGCTTCTTCATTGTTAATTTCTACATCCCCAGTTGCAAGGCTTGCTTGGTATTATACCATCTGCATTACCAAGCTATGCCTTCTTCGATCACCCATTGATGAGACATTGATGATTTTAAGGAAACAAAAACACTATGAAAGTTGGATGATTGGGGAATATGGTGTGTGATGGTTAGATATTTAACCTATGCTTATATGGAGGATGACTGAAGGTTTGTGTTTCATGTGTGTAGGTTTGTGTTTCATGTGTTTTGTATGTATTTGATATGTGTTTCGTGTGTTTCATGTGTTATACATCTCTATCATGTGTTTTGTGTGTTGTATTTATACATATCTATCATGTGTTTCATATTCTTCCATAATGTTTCATGAGTTTCATGTGTCGATTTAGTGAATTTTAGATATTTATCAGAATTTAAATATTTTTAGGTTAAAATGTTCATAAAAATAATTTAGGATAGTCTACATAATTTTTTTTAAAGTTAATTTTAAAAAAAAATTAGCCTAAATTCATTCTTTAATAATCTAGAGCTAAAATTTTAGATCAGAAAAGTTATTTTTGGGTTAAAACCTAAATTTTCTGGACTAAAAATTTTAGATTTTAACCCAAGGGTTGGAGATGGTCTCATGAAAAGTAAATAATATAATAAATAATAGTTTAAATTTGACATTTTGGATGGACAATAAAATTTATCAAAAGATCAACACGCCGCATAATCCTTCAAATTTAGCCCACTCCCCACCCTCTTAGTGTACCTATTATCTTCTGTTTTTTCAAAAAATAAAATAAAAGTGCACATCCATCTTTTTTCCTTTTTATTTGGGTCCTCAAATTCCTTTTCGACTCAATCAAGAAATCAATTAGTTTGGAAAAAAAAATTTGAGAAGTCAAATAGGGAAGAAAAAGATGCAATAAATTGGATTATGGGATTTAATGCCTTTTTCAGTTTTGGAAAATTGTTGAATATATTTTCTAAAATTTTGATTTGTGAGTAGAAATGTATTACCAAGTATACCTTTATGTTATTACCATATTTTCTAGTCGCCTAAATTTTGGTGTTGTTTTTTGTGCTCATGATGGGCTGGCAGGAGAATATTACGTTATTTAGAAGATCGGCAAGTATTAGGTTATTTAGTTTAATCACTATGAAGATTGTTTTCATTTACAAAAAAATAAAGACAGCGTGTTTCAACAAAGTTCGTGTTTGGTAATATAGCTTATAAAGCTTAAGTTTTTATTGTTAACAAATGTATTAATGTTATTGTCATACTATTTTGTAAATATGTGACGATCAAATAAAATTCATGTAAATATATTTATTTAATATAATTATCATTTGATAGTCGAGATAATATTACGCTATTAAATTTCTCGTTTCGTTGATTTGTTGCTTGTTTCAAACCATATACCAATGGGAGTTTGACGCTATTAAATTTCTCTATGTATCATAGACCATGATATCACACTACACTATCTACTCAATTCGTGAAGAAGAGGAGATGTACCTTGCGATAGATTTTGAGTTTTATCTTTCCTTTATTTTTATTTCTATGTGTAACTAAACTAATTTTCTAAGACTTATGATGAAGTCATGACATGATTATTTCCAAAGTACTTTGTTAATTATTATCTAATTATATGTCATGTCAAATTCTTTATCTTTGTGCATATTTTATTCTACATTTGGATTTCTAATGACTGATCACCATTACGAACATTGCATCCAGATACTTAAATAAATCTAGGAGAGAAACATTATCCACTAGGTTTATGGGAACTACTATTAAGAAGAGTAGACAACTAGGAGAGAAACGCTATCCACTAGACCTACTTGGTTGACATAATTCTTCTATGCTTGATGGATTCTTATATGTTAATTCCTTACCAAAATGTGTTCAGACTTATAGTTCCTACACTGCCCAAGGTAACTATATTGTGTTATTAGTGGGAAAGGAAGCTTAATGAGATGAATGAAATAGTGCAATATAATGCATGCCTTATGGCGCAAGATTTTTCTCATACACCATAGATTGGTTGTAGCATTATGAATGTGGTTAATGTTTCTCCATGGAGATATTGATATTACATGGACTAGTTCAAATAGTTCTAGACCACAAAATAGTCACCCAAGGGGTTAGCCTGCGTTTTATAGTCCGTAGGCTACGTAGCATATCGGTAGCTGATAGTCATATATGAAACGAAGATTGTTAACTAGTCACAACATAAGTGTGTAGTTGTATGAATTTTCGTGGGCAATTATTCGAAGGGTGTATCGTGAGTAGCCATCTAGAACCCATAGGTTGAGTAGCATGTCTGCAGTTGATAGAGTTTCGCATAGACATGAAAGTTGTTAACGTGTTGCAGTAGAAGTGCATAGTTGTATAGACCTTTGTAGGCATCTAGTTCAAAAGTGTATTGCGCTTAAAAGTTTACAGAACACGTATGTTTAATAGCATACTGGCAGCTGATATAGTTCTATGAGGACACAAAAGATTACTTAAGTAGTCATGCCAAAGTCATGTAGTTGTATAGATCTCATAGGTAAAGGTTCAGGGAATGCAATGCACTTACACCTCTTTCGATAGAGAGACCCGGGTTCCCACAGATTAAGTTGGGGGCTTGAATTCCTTTCGGTAGAGAGACTCGTTCCACGAATTAAGCTAGAGGCTTGAAATATTTCAGTTAGCTAAGTCTTGATAAACATTGTTGTGGCTAATTCCAGGAATAATTGGCGCAGGTTGTCATGCAGCTAGGTTAGGGCAGCCAAACATATCTACGTCTAGATATCCGGGTAGTTTACCTTCCCCCTAAGGGTTTTGCATTGTTCTATTATGCATTGTCCGCTTCATGCCAGGGCGCTCAACCATGGAGGCAATCTATCTCTTACGAAGATTGATGGAAAGATATAGAGATGGGAAAAAGGATTTACACATGGTCTTTATAGATTTGGAAAAAGCGTATGATAAGGTCCCAAGAGACATTCTTTGGAGGATTTTAGAGAAGAAAGGAGTACGAGTAGCATATATCCAAGCTATACAGGATATGTATGAATGAGCAAAGACTGCCGTAAGAACTCATGAAGGACAAACCGAAAGCTTTCCCATAACTGTAGGATTACATCAAGGCTCATCCTTAAGTCCTTACCTTTTTGCGTTGGTAATGGATGAGTTAACAGGACATATTCAAGATGATATTCCTTGGTGTATGCTTTTCGCAGACGATATAGTGTTGATAGATGAAACTCAAGAAGGGGTAAATGCAAAGCTTAACCTTTGGAGAAAAGTGTTGGAATCTAAAGGTCTTCGCCTAAGCCGATCAAAGACAGAATATATGGAGTGCAAGTTCAGTGCAAATGGAGGCCAAAACGAGTTAGGGGTGAGGATCGGAGATCAAGAAATACCAAAGAGCGACCGTTTTCGTTACCTAGGATCTATCTTGCAAAAGAACGGAGAATTAGATGGAGATCTCAACCATAGAATACACAAGCTGGATGGATGAAGTGGAAGAGTGCATCCGGCGTGTTGTGTGACCGCCGTATGCCACTGAAGCTCAAGGGAAAATTTTATAGGACGGCAATAAGGCCGGCGATGTTGTATGGCACAGAATGTTGGGCGGTGAAGCATCAACACGTACACAAAATGGGTGTAGCGGAGATGAGGATGCTTCGTTGGATGTGTGGGCACACGAGAAAGGATAAGATTAGGAATGAGGATATCCGGGGTAAAGTAGGAGTAGCCGAAATTGAAGGAAAGATGAGAGAAAATCGGTTACGGTGGTTTGGACATGTGCAAAGAAGGCCTACTGACGCTCCGATTAGAAGATGCGACTATAGGACAGAGGTTTAGGGCCGAAGGGGTAGAGGAAGACCTAGGAAAACTTTGGAAGAGACCCTAAGAAAAGACTTAGAGTACTTGGATCTAACGGAGGACATGACACAGGACATAACACAATGGCGTTCTAAGATTCATATAGCCGATCCCACTCAATGACTTGGATTTTCCAAGTCTCCAACCGAGAAGTTTTCCTCACTCGGGAAATTAAGGGAACACTACCTCAACCTACATGCTCCACTCACAAAGCTTCAACATACAAGCTTCAACAAAAGAAAATTCAAAGAACTTAGCGAAGAAGGCTTTGGTGTATTTAACACATTACGTTGAAATGAAGGAAAGCTTATTTATTGATATCCCCGATAAGTTACAAATATGTACATATACTTGAGTCAAAATAAACAAACAAGAGGGAGCCTTCACAAAGGTTGCTTAGGAGAAGTCTCAGCAGTCGGTAGAGCCCCAGAAAGAGAAGGCACCGGAGGGGGATCATTCGGAGCCTCAGTACTGGACAAAACCCTAGAAGGAGGAGGCATCAGAGGTTGATCATTTGGAGCTTTATTACGCGATACAGCCCCAGAAGACGAAGGCAATAAATGTCTTTGGAACAAACCCACAAATCTCTGATGATCAAGTAAAACCTAACCATCAGATTCCTTCATCTGGTCAAGCTTCCTCTTCATGTTTGTAGCATAGTCATGTGCGAGCCGGTGCAACTGTTTATTCTCATGCTTGAGCCCTCTAATCTCCTGTTTGAGACTCATCACTTCAGCCGCCAATGATTCAACTTGGCGGGTTCGAGCAAATAGGCGTTGGGCCATATTAGACACAGAACCTACACACTGAACACTGAGAGCCAAAGAATCCTTAACAGCCAACTCATCAGACCGTTTGGAAAGTAGTCTGTTATCTTTGGGAGTGAGAAGGTTCCTGGCCACTACCGCAGCGGTCATATCATTTTTCATCACGGAATCCCCAACGGTAAGAGGACCAGTAAGGGAGACGAATGATGGGCGCCATATGTTGTCTGGAGAAGGCGGGGCTGCCTCTTCAACAAGGTTCAAGTCAAAACGACGGTCGGAGGGGCCAGACATTTTCAAAGGTGTTGAAGAGAGAAGAGGTCGAACAAATCAAGATCTTAAAAGTGCAAGAATGAAGCTTCTACTGGTGGATATTCAAG